TGACCACCCATCTCTAATTATTCTCTCATATTCCATTAAACACAGCATCACTTTGGTTCTCTTTTTTGAGAAAGTGACATTTCAGTATATATTTTGATAGTACTGAAGTAGTATTTAAAGCAAACCCATCATCCTGAAAGATCCTCTTACTCTTGCGCTTACAGTTACTGAAGAAAAACTGTCCATCAAATGAATGTGTTTATTAGGCATATATTTCAATTGTAACAGTAACACCAGCGTTATTGTCATGGTTTCCTTCAAAAAGTGTTGCCTTTTCTACGCTACATGATCCAGATCTGTCTTAAGCATTTTCTTTTGACTGGCAAGTTATGAAACTCTACACCAGTAAGAATCAATACCCAGCCTTTTTGTTTCTTGTCTGAGCACATATTTAGCTCTGCTGTGTCCTAGTCACTGTTCCAGAGGTGTTTGCAGCTGGGCCACTATTTCAGAAGAGAAGAGCTCAGAACAACCTTAACCTCAAAGCACGTCAGTGTCAGTGTGGCTATGGCATAATTTCTCCTTCTTAACAATTTTCTGGTTGCCAGTAGTTCAATTACCATTCTACACTTCCCTCCAGCAGCATGCTGAGTGAATTGTTTATGCCATATTATATTTGCAACTAATGTGGCATTTTAATGTCTTCATAAAATATGAGGAGCAGGGCTGGCGAAGTGCAAAAGGAAATGAGCAGCAGAGCACTGAAAGAAATCCACCATTGTTTTGCTGTTAAGTCAAACCTGAGCTCTACTTGAGTGCCTTCTCAGCTTTTATCTGAGAAAACCTTGAGCTGAGGCCCTACAGGATGTTGTTACTTGATTGCATGACTTCTACCCAGAGGATATGAGCCTTGGTAGAAGAATCCTGAAAGTACTGGATGCTCAGAGGATAGTTTGGATGGAAGGAGAATTTGTAAAAAGGAATTTAAAATCACAAGGCCAAATCATGGAGAAGTGTGCCAGAAATGTTTGTCCACTGTTTCTAGGGGCCATCCCTAGAAGCCATTGTGACACTTTCTATTTAGTGAGAAGCAGGGAAATGTCAGAGAAGAGGATTTAGATCTCCCCCCAACATTGCTGTTTCTCGAAGTATTACCGGTAGACACAGCCTGGAAGAGGAAGAAAACAGGAAAGTTTTTGTCAACATCTCCAAACATGTCTCTAAAAATTTGCACTGAAGGGATGCGACCATGAGAATCTATTTTACTCTTTTCCATGTAGGCTACATATACCCACTTGCAGAAGAGGGTGGGAAGAAGGAGGCTGGTGCTCAACCTTTGCCCTACCCACAGCTCTTCCATTTCAAACCACTAAGAAGGAAAGTTCTAACCTCCTAGTAATAGCATCTGCCTTTGAAAAGGACATTTACCATGGGGCTGGGTAGAGCATCACCCCATAGCTGCTGGAACACAGCTAACCTGAGTTATGAAAGACACAAAACTGTCAGAATAAAAATTGTCTGCAAAAACCCTTCAAGGAGACAGCAGATTTGTGCAACTGATGGTGTGAGTTTGCTAGCTGAATGATTTGGGGTTTAAAAAAATGAATAACAGATTAGTCTATGGTGGCTTGAGGATATTACCTTGTTTCTACCACAATGGCTCATTAAATCTGCCAAGCCAAATGGGTACAGGATGTGGCATTTTACAGCCCTGCTCCTTAATTGGAGAGAGGTAGCTTAAGAGCAGCTTAAAAGGTAGGTCATGTTTCAGAGGGTTGATGAGAAACCCTGGATTAAATCTGAGGCTCTTTGGGTAGAAGTCTGTGTACTGTATTGGGAAAAGGGAACGTTATGTGTCCCAAGAAGCTCTCTCCAAATCCACAGCCCCATGTAAAGTTGCAGTATAGCCTGTGGTGTTGTTTGCTTATGAAATACCTTGTAAAAAATGACCGCAGACCGTTCAACAGGCTTAGAGGCTGATCTCTAAAATGATCAGAGAGAGCTCAGCTGATCCCTCTGCTTTCTCAGAGGTTTAAGTGTACCTTTAAAGTTGTATAAATTATTCCTGGTTTGCTTTTTCTGTGGGTGTAAAAGTAACTGAAGTTTGTTTGCCATAGAAGTATAGCCTGGAACTGCCACAGCCGCTCTCTGGCAGCACTGCTGCCTGGAAAGGGGAGAATGGAAAAGGCAGAGGCAAACAGTGGCAACTTAGGGATGTACTCAGGTGTAATCCTTGCTAGGTCCCTGTCTCTGTGTGTGCTCTTGGCTGGCTCTTGGCCCCCAAGAGGCATCAGCCCTATAGAAAATGGGAGGCTCAAAGGTTTGGAAGGAATTCAGGCCAATATGGCTGTACTAATAATCAGTCAAGAACCTTTCATCTAGAAAGATATCAGCTAGCTTTACAGTCCACAGCTACAGATATGAAGGCTGTCTGTTTTCATAGGAGCACATGGTGACATCTGATATATTTTAGGAGGAGGTTTTATATCAGCAGCAGTTTGGGATGATCAAGTTATTTATATGTTAGCTTTACCACTCAGCAGGAAAACAGTCCTCCTAAACATAGACTGTGCAGTTACACACAGTGCCCTTTTAGAGGAAATTTGATGTCATACATAATAAGTTACTACAATTACTTTAGGACCACTTAGAAGTGTTTCAAGAAGCATTTTTGTAAGAACCATGTGCCTACAGTCTACTCAATTCCTGCTTCCTTCCATAATGGGAATGAGGTTTATGAAACTGAGTGTGAAGAAAATTAATGATCCATGAAGATCTCCAAAACTTGATTAAAATAGCATTTGCCAGCTCAGTAGTGCACAGGGGAAGGGATGGGATTAATGCCTTTCTGTTTCTCTCTGCAGTGTGGGAATGTGTAGAGGGGATGTTTGTATTGAGAGGAAAGGCTCAGGGCAGGGTTGGAGAGCAAAAGGATTTATTGTTTATGAGAGAGAGTGAGCCCAGCAGATCTTCTCAGTAGCTCCCGAAGGAGACATTTTTCTGGAACTGGAGAAAGCTTGTCTGGCCCACTGGGCCAGAACCTCTGGGCAGCAGTTTGGTAGCTATAGCCTGCCAGCTCTTGCTCTGAGAAGTCCTCTCCATGGGCCCCTTGAGCATCTATAGAGCTTCTCAACAACATCTCCACTGCTGTCCCTAACTGCAGAGCACCATGAGGCCCTTTCTTCCTTCCACTGGAAATAAAAAACCCCAACATTTGGTAATGCAAACAGCCCCACACACACATTTCAAACAACTCAGATTCATGGTTTCAGGAAAAATTCGGGGGAAAAAAATAACAATCTTTAAACCTATCAGGAGGCTCAAAGGAGTCAGGAGAGGACAAGGTCACCTGTTCCACTCACTGCTGGCTTTTTCCACTCTTATTACTGAGCCTGGCCTCAGCACTTAGGTTTGAGCCATCCCACAATACAGGTATGATAGTTATGATACAACAGATGAGATAATTTCTCTCATTGTCGAGATGAGATCTTGGCTCTGTGACAGGTAGAACCCGGGTCCCTAAAGAAATACCTCCTGGCTGTGTTTCTGTGCATGGTCACACTTGTATAACCACCTCCACAAACAGGAGGCAGCACTTCCCTCCCACAGCACATCTCCAAATACACCTTGTAGTGCAACCCCCCAGTAACAAGTGCACATTGCTTTCCCCTTTGGACAGCACATCCCTTCAGTGGTTAACTAACAGCTAACTAACTGGGTACATGCATGGTTACTATCTGTGAAGGAGAGTAGAGAAAAAGAGTTAAAGATGGTTTTAGGTCTAGTTGCTTAAACCTGGGTTTTAAAGTTGAAGTTCCTTGCTTTTTCATAGAGTATAAGGCAAAGCAAAAAAGGAGATAAAGGTTATTGCAGATTTGAATGCACTGCAGCTGACAGAAAAACATTTGCATCTTTTCCACAAAGAACAAAGGAATCTTGTTATAAGCATCTTACTAAATTATTAATAATGACATTCTGATGGAAAGGAAGAAATGGGAAGTTCTAAGAGGACTGAAGGAGGTTTATGGAAACAGACAACAAAAGACATCTATAGATACAGCATCAAGAATAGAAAAAAATAAAGCAGAATTAAATGTGAGTGGGAGTCTGAAAGTTAAAAAGTATTGGAGGCCTGACGTAGGCAGGATATAGCTCCAGAAGTATGTTTGAAATGAGAACGTAGGTTGGAAACTAGCATGACAAAGTCAGAGCAGAAAGACATTGTGGGGTCAGGCAGGAACCAAGCAGTGCCTTAGGAGTCAAAGAAAATTAAGGAGCAGCTGTACTTACACGCAACTGAGACTGTAATTATAAGGCCTTTCAAAACAAGAAAGCCTTAGAAGTCAGCAGGTCAAGGGAGGTGATTCTCCCCTTCTACTCTGCTCACATGAGACCCCATCTGGAGCACTGTGTACAGTTCTGGAGACCTCAGCCCAAGAAGGACATGGAGCTGTTGGAGTGAGTACAGAGAAGGGACACAAAGATGATCAGAGGGCTGGAGCACCTCTGCTATGAAGACAGGCTGAGGTAGTTGGGGTTGTTCAGCCTGGAGAAGAGAAGGCTCCAAAGAGACCTTATAGTGGCCTCCCAGTACCTGAAGGGACTACAGAAAAGCTGGGGAGGGGCTTTTTACAAGGGCAAGTAGTGAGTGGACAAGGGTTAATGGATTAAAACTGGAAGAGGGGAGATTTAGATGAAACAATGGGAAGAAATTCTTTAGTATGAGTGTGGTGAGACCCTGGCACAGGTTGCCCAGGGAAGCTGGGGGTGCCTCATCTCTGGAAGTGTTCAAGGCCTGGTTGGATGGGGCTCAGAGCAACCTGATCTAGTGGGAGGTGTCCCTGCCCATGCAGGGGGGTTGGATCTAGATAAACTTAAAGGTCCCTTCCAACCAAAACCATTCTGTGATTCTATGATATGACTCAAACAGGGTTTCCAAAGCGAAGGCAACAAGAAGAGTAAAATCTTCCATAGCAAAGGAAGAAGTTGGAAATTACACTATGTGCCTCTCACCATTTCAGTAAGTAGTATGAAATCTTCATGAAATAACACCAGTTCTGCCATTTTTGCCAGAAATCATACAATGGGATCACATGTCATGTATCACATATGGAGAAAAAGGACGGCTAGACTCAGCAGTCACCCATCACCGACCTGAGAGGTTAAACATCTGATTTGTGATTTTTATCAAATCTCTAGGGACCATCCCAAATAAACAGATGCACTGCTGAAAGAAACTGCCTTAGTTCACTATGCTTTGCAAGAGATAACCTACGAATGTAGTCAGCAGAAAAAAAAAATATTTATTGCCTCCAACACTGCTAATATTGCTTTTGGAGAACAATATCATCAAGCAGAATACATATTTAGTAGCTATATAGACTTTGTGTGGGCAGCCAGTGATGAGCCAGTTGGCCATCAGGACTCAAGTAATGATAAGCATCTCCTTTCATGGAGAAAGAACATTATTAAATCATAAAGGGTATGATTTGCACAGTAAGTTAAGATCCTGTATTGTAAGACATGGTCTTTTGTAGCTGGAAAGAATTATCAGGACTGGAGCTTGCAAAGATACTGGAGAATGCTGTTAATGGTGTTACAGAAAAAAATCCTGGAAAGAGAAACATGCTTTACATTCCTTACGGGTTTCCCTATATCTATTCCCTACTAAAACGTATCCAAAAACATATTATTTTGGACTCCTTAAAATAAAGTTAGGGTGTCTGTCTTTCTCAACATGTGCTGTTAAACACCTCCAGCAGCTGCACAAATAGGAAAGGGGTATTTCATCAGAAAATGCAGGCCAAGGTTTCCCCTAGAGCACAGAGACCTCCCCTCCAAAACACACACACAAAAAAAAGCTTTTTAGCAAATTTTCATTATTTATTTGTTTTGGGGCCAGGTTGAGGCAAAGAGAAGAAATGAGGTAGGGGAAGTAAATCTGAACATTTTTGTTGGGTTGCTTCTTTCCTAACTGGGGCTCGTTTATAGCTTGAAGGCAGCAGATGACAAATTTGAACAAAAAGTTGTTTAAAGAAACAAAACAAGACACAACAAAACAAAACACTAGCAATGTATTCAAGATTGCAATTTCCTAAAAACTTTCAAGGAACTACAGATTTTTTTGTATATCAGTCAACCAAAGAGAATTTTTTTGTTGTTTTTTTTAACTGATGGAAAGCATTTAATTTAATTATGCTATATCTCCCCAGAATATTTCACTGTGTTTTATTCCATGAACTCCTCCTTCTCCAGGACTCCTGCCAATGCTGTCAAGGCATTTGTGAGAAGTTGCCTTGAACTGTTTGCAAAATTTCAGTGGCATTGATGTTGCAACATTTTTTAATGAATGCAGGGAGAGGGGGTGAATCTGTTATCAGGGTATGGCTTTTTAAGACCCAGAAAGGTCAGGTACTTCATTCAGAAATATGTGAACTGCTGAAACCATCTCTACACTGCTAAGCTCTGGGTATTTGACCTTATAATGGCCTTCCAGGAGCTACAGGAAAGCAGGGGAGGGACTTCTTACAATAACATCTAGCGATAGGACAAGGGGTGATGGTTGTAAGCTGAAAGAAAGTAAATTGAGATTAGATATTAGGAATAAATTATTTACTGTGAGAGTGGTGAGACACTGGAAGAGGTTGCCTAGAGGAGCTGCAGATGCCCCCTCCCTGGGAGTGTTCAAGGGCAGGTTGGATGGGGCTCTGAGCACCCTGGTCTAGTGGGAAGTGCCCCTGCCCGTGGCAGGGGGGTTGAATTAGATGATCTTTGAGGTGCTTTCCAATCCAAAGCATGATTTTGGGATTCTATGATTTTAGTGTGCACTGGTGTTGGTGGCCTTCAAGATACTTACGTTGCTGTTAAGTCTATCTACTCCACATATCATAAAGGAATTAATTATAATTAATTATAATTATTATAAGTAATTAATTATTAATTATAGCTAATCCAACGAGTAAAAATCTATTCTTTTAATTTGCTGAGACGCCATGACCTGGGAACCAGGACAACAAAGGTGGAAGCCAGGAACTTTGTTCTGCCAGTGTCATATTTAATGATACTGGACAGATCACTTAATCTGCTTTGGTCTCAACTTCACCCCCTAATTAAAAAAGAAAAAAAAAAGATAATAATGATTTTCTCTGCTCTGACATCTCCAGAGGAAAGATGTTGTGTAATAGCAAGTGCTAGAATTCCTGTTACTTTGCATCTTCCATTTGAGGCAGAAGGGCAAAACCAGCAACCCACTCTGTACTGATGCAAGATGCCTCCTGGGGCAAACAAATCGTATCTCTAAAACCAGGGACTCACCCGGTTCTGATAACCCTTCTCAGCTCTTAACCTGGGGTTTTCATCTGCTGTCACTTCCCTCCAACTCTCCAGACTCCCTGGGGCTCCAGAGCAGCAGCGCTCACTTCCCAGCGACACAAAACAAGCCCTTTCTGGCGGAGGGGTGAGAGCACAGGCAAGCAACAAGCCTGCGAAGACCAGGACACCCTTTTTCCCCCCCCAAAGCCC